GAAATAATTTGGAATGTGAAAGAACATTTCGAACAAAATCATTATTTCACTGTGGACGCGGGTGGTCAGCAATTTGAACCTTCAATCAACTTAAACTAAGTAGTAAGGAAGCAGCCGAAATTTAAAAAGAATTGTATATACATTTTCAAGAGCTTTCAATATAATAGAATAACTACATTATTGGTGCAACATCTTACTCGACCCAAAATACCATCGAAATGTTACCTATATGTTATATACCTATATAGTAGACTGTTTCCTTTTCGTTTGGCACCCTGTTTGGTACTGATATTATTGATTTTTATTTCCGTTACTATATAGCAGAGAAAAGTTTCAACTTTCCAAAATATAATTTCAGGAAGCCGGACATTCACATTTAATAAAATCGATTGCAACGGATGACTATTTAACTGACAGGAATTGTGGGGCTTTGAATGTTGCTAAAAATAATTGTTTCTTTTATTTGTCGGTAGAAAAAGAAGGCCTGAAAATTACACCTGACAATTATGTTTTTCCTTCTAAGATAAGAGATTCTGATGTCCAAAAACCTAAAGTACAGGTGAGTTTCATTGTATATCAATAGTTTGTCAAGTACTATCAAAAATGTCTGTTTTCAGATTTCTTCTGTAAAGAAAATAAGCGATGAGCAAATCTACAGCATAAACATTGAAACTGATCAAATCGCATTATTTGTTTGGTTGGAATCACCAGTCATATCAGGAACATTTTCGGAAAATGGATTTTTGATGGTCAACAATACAAAAACCGTTTATTTCAATAGTGAAGAAGAATCAATTTCACCGGAGGAATTGTCAGAAACGTTGACTTTGACGCACTTGATGGATGAACAATACTTCTAATCGATTTCAAGATCAAATTTAAATGTACAATTCATCGTATTTTCATCTATTTTTGTTTATATTAAAATGATATCAATATAATATTAATATTGATTAAGATTCATATTTTTTCGCTGTATAGAACCATTTATTCCTCAATTGAATTTTTGCTTCTTTATATAATAATGTATTGGTAACTTCTAATCATTAGCACTGGGGGTTATAATTATTCCGCCCTATCTTTTGCCTGTAATGAAATACAACTAAAAATAAAGCTTAATTTAGTGGTTTCTGTCCTCCGGGTCAGTTGCGTTGTAAGGTGCTGGAATGTCGCTCTTTCAAACTTTTGGTATATTTAATGTCCCCAATTGGTTCAATAGACAAATTTTTTTCGGGCTACCCGCGACATATATTTTTACGCCATTTATGAATATGTTTGTCCCTTCTTTCCCGGTTTTTTTAACTAATGGTCTCCCGACAACATGAACCAGGAAAGTTTAATAAAAGGCCATCATAATTGACTGGAGTAATATTTGACAAGATTAACCTCACTCCAAGGTGAAGAGAAAACTGTCGAGAAAGGTTGAATATCTGAGATTGATATTAGATCCCAGACTGATTCGAAATCAAGAAGTAACAGTGATGTAGACCTAAAAAAAGACATGGAGGATAAAACCGAGCATGATGTATTATTAGCTATACTCAATGGAGATTGAACCTATGATATCATAAATTTCTTTGGTGTGGTGACCAAAGATGAAACGCAGAGACGTTCGATTATTTGGGTACAACGGAAGCAAAGAAAATAACACCGATAGCAGCGCTGAAGATACTACACTGAATGTATATCATTTACATCTGGTAATAACGGGAGAAGCAACTGAAAAATGTTCCGAGCAAAAGAGATCTGGCAAAATTAAAGTGTAGAAATATGTAGAGGATTGATCATGGCACCGAAGTTCACTTTCGATACAAACTCCACGGTTACAGGTACCTACATATCGTGAAGTGTCGATGAAAAACAGTGATTTGCAGAACATGCTTGGCAGTGGCATATAGACGGGTCATAAATCGATCATAGAAAGAAAACAGAAACATATTATTAGAGGCCTCAAACACATGAGCGGATCAATATTCTCATAAACAAGCAAGCACTCGGGGTATTAATGCACTCAAAAATGGCATTGCGACAGATCTAGAAATGCCGTAAAGAATTAAAGAAACTGTAGGACAGTAATAGACTGATACTCTTTACCGAATGTCAGGACACCTAGGGATAACAGGTAACATAAAAGATAATGATTGTCTTAGACATACGAATCATCAACTCCCTGTACCAACTATGGTAACAGATTGGAAAATGGTCATGTTTGTCAAGCTTCCAACGAAGCTTGACAAACATGACAAAAAATACAGTGACACCACTATAGCTCTCATCATATATGTGACTTTTTCAATTATGTGGTCACATGCCATTCTGGACCTGTCAATTCTGACATTTCACAAAGAACTTCTCAAAAATCGAGTTACCTCTGGAAATTTCTGAAGTTGCATCAGAAAAAAAATTTTAATTTTTATTTCTTTATCATATTTCAACTCTTTACTGTCACTTCGAGTTCAATCAGAAACTGTCCGGATTTGTCTTGTCGACAGGTAAATGGTTAGGTGATTGAATAAACGAGTGTGTTTTTCATTTATAATGTACTACTTTATCTATGTATTTGAATTATATCAAATGTGTATTAAGTGTACTTAATACATTCTTGGCTTGAAAATAATTGAACAATACTTTGATACATACACAGACAATTATGAATATTATATATAAAAAAATATTAGTTCTCTGAATTGATTTGTATTTCATTACTCGTTATCTCATTTCAGTCAGATTTATGGGCCTATGGCCCCTTATCCTTTCGACTGTTTGAGTTTCTCTTGGGTTCCTGTGGCGGGGCGGCAGGGGATTGCATGATCCTCTGTCGGCTTCTTTTGACTTTTGGCCCTGTGTATGAAAGTTGCAGCGTACTTCTTTGGCTTTGCGGCCATTAAGGCACTATTTCTTGTTATATTTTCCGGCAAGCATGGATTGCAGCACCGGAAACTTCACTAGAAGCGCCTGCAGCTGCCCTAAGGCCTCGGAAGAGCTGCAGGCGTTCTCTGACGATGACACGGCCCTCGCGTACGATACGTCGCGCCTGATTGTGTTTCTTCCGACAGGCCTTGGGTTTGTGGTCTGTCTGTTTTCGTTCGGCCTATCTGAGGCCCTTTTATTTTCAGGGCGATTGAGCCGTTTCTGGCTCTTTCTTCCTCTTTTTTGGGACCTTTACCGCTTGGCTTTCTTCGCCCGACATAATATCGTAGCTGTCCAGATCGCTGATATCGAGTCGGAGTCGATAAGACGATGAATTAGAGGTTTTTTTCTTTATCAAATTCAAGTCCATTCTCTTTGCAAAGAATTTATATTCTTCCACTAGTTCGGTACTACTTATTTCATAGTATTCTATAATAGTTGATATTATAGCCAGACTTGCTTCTTTTAGCTTTTTACGAACTTTCGTGAAATTGAAAATCGTTTCTATAACTTGTTCCATCTCGAAAGATAGATGCTACACTTCGAAATTAGCACAACGAAAATTAGTCGACTTGACAGCTGTCTGACATTTTTATTGTATTTCATGATTGTTCCAAATTTCATTATTTATTGACTTTGTTTGGTTAAGTTTGTTAAGGCAATAAATGCATTATCATTAAAAAAGGACTAATATACTCTTTGCAGGTGATTCCATTGAATGTGGGATTATTCACTCTTCCACTTACACTTGATATGGTGAAGTTTTGTGTCCAATCACTGTACCAAATATTGCCCAAATACAAATAAATGGTCCCCTTACCCTTTTGCGAAAACTACTACTACATTAAGTCAAACGAGGACAAGCAAATGAACTGACGATGTAATTATTCAGTTCATTGGATGTAATCTGTTACTAAAACGATGAGGCGACTTTTACATACCTTCAGCGTTGTAACCACAACTCTCAAATTTCAATTAGTACCTTGAACCAAAGGTAACAGTGAATTAATTGTGAACTCTACTTTTTGACAATATATCCAGTTTATTCAAGGTCAAATCTTTTTAAGTTAGGTTAAGTTATTCCTTTGCTTCCGTTTATTTCGGTAATCTGTGCCTTTGATACGCATGACAACTGTCATAAACTAGAATATTCGAGGTCAAAGGTGATTTCTGTTTTTGGTAAAGTTTTGGAGTTTTGGTGCGATTTCAGTTGAAAGTTTGAATCAGAATTCTGTTCATAATTCCGTTAATACTATTTTAGGCTTAATTTTTAGAGAATCGTTGAATGTAAATTTTAGTATGAAATCCATGTGAAATTGTTTTGACTCGATTCTTGACTATTACCTACATTTTAAGTGTCCATTCATCGATTGAGATTGCCGGATAATTGTTTTCAATTTTCTCGTAATTGTGGTGTATAATTATTATTAATTATCGTTTCCAAATATTGCGAAACTGGCTTCCTTCGATGAAAATTTCTGTGGGATGGACGTAGATCCATTGCCCAGTAGTTCTTCAGGTATGAATTTTTTAGGTTAGCCATAGAAAATTGTGACAAGGAATTCATTTCAAGGTTTACCTACCTCACTAGTTCTACAAACGCTACCCAAAATTGATGAAAATGATATTTTGAATTCTAAACCACCTAAAGAACGGATTTTGGAAATGTTGGATTTATTAGAAATTCATGTAGAAAAATTGAGGAAAGGAGCCAGTCAACTCGAAGAAGATAAAGATGCTTTGCTCTCAACTTTAGATTCCGTTATGAATGCTGATTCAATGTATAATATGGACGAAAGTAAGGTTATACCTGAACTGGGTAGTTCTTTGTTTAAAACGTTTTTTATCTTAACTTTATGAATATTTATTCTCCAAATAAAAAAAATGTTGAAAAATCGGTAAGTAATCTAAATGAAGTTGAATGTTGGACCAGAAACACAGAATATCTTTAGAGAAGATACACAATCTTATTAAGGGTGGTAATAATCAATATAATTTTTCCCGGATTGTTATTGAATCTGAGTATGGTAGAACAAAGATAACTTAGTAAAATGTTGCATTAACAATCTGCCAAGATGACATCGTGATAATTACTCTACTGTTAAAAAATATATAACTGTTAAATTTCAAATCATTTGAATATACAGTTAAAATGATGGTGACTGCAGTGAACAGTTATCAAAAACAAATAGTTATTATTTAGACCAAATATATCCAATATAATTATATATAGGATAAAATGTGTCATGTCTGGTTTAAGAAATAGTTATTTACTTAAAAGGAAAACATTTTTAACCAGTTTCTATTATAATGGACCAACAGTAATCCCCTAACATCTTTTCATCCCAAATTCCTTGATTTTGTTTTTCAAAAACCTTAAAATATATGTGGAAAAGTTCCTTTCTTTGTCACTCACACTTCCTAAGTTTTCAGGGAAAAACTCACAAAATACATGAGGTGCCCACTTTTCATGTTGATTTTCAACAGGCAATTCAAAATAATGAAGAAATGTACTTTTTACCGAATCTAAAATGGTTCTTCTCTTTTTTTGAAAATATAAACTGTCCACAAACATAACAAAAACTATCAGAACTTTGTTAAAACGTTCTATTAGACATTTTTAATCAAATTGAAATAAGATCATTGTCGTTTGAAGTGAATGAATAAACAATAAACTGTCGTCGCTACATTAGACAGTTTAAAAAAAAAACATTTCAATGCAGGAATTAACTTATTCTGCTATATTTCTGCTAATATTTTTAGGTTTAACATATTTATATACATTTATTTCGGGGTATAAAAAAAGAAGTTGAATTTCATAAACTAGTGTTTTCATCACCTCAACAAGCAGTTGGGTATCAAATTTGATAATTGGTTTAAATGCACGCAAAATTAATGTTGAATATTAAAAAAAAATATATTGATTTGTTGACAACAAAATGTTATGTTGGTATTGTAAAAACTTGAATGGCGACCCAAGTACTCTAGCGACATGTATAGGGTTTTTCAACAAGAACTTCCGAACTTTGACAATTGATAACAGCTATTTTGTTGAAGCTTCACCTAACAAATTAGTTGTCACTTATTCATTCTGTTTTGCCAAATCACCATGGGCAGATATAGCATTCAACAACACATGCAAATAATAAAATTGTTACTTCCTCGCAGAATTGTAAATTTTGCGAAATAACTCCTGGAAATCTGATTTACCAGTACCACCTCGAACGTATTGAAAAAATCCATTTAAATCACCAGAAACTCAAAATTTACTTAACTGAACATTATAACTGCAAAAGATGAGTAATTCAACCAAATTTCTACAAAATATACAGTCATAGTTACAAAAATGTGTTGAGTAATATTAATTCTAGGTAAACAGAAGCTATAGAATTACTAAAAATACCTTGAGTAGTGAGTTAGTTGCTGAGCCTTGATTACCTTTAATAAGTATTTTTCATAATTAATATTTTTTCGCAATATTTTTAATCCACCCTTAAGAGATTTTGTAACAACTAGTACAGCTTATAAATTGAATATTGGACAGTTCTGAACATTTTATAATTTTGCGGTGAGGAGAAACGTCCAAGAAAGCTGAACAAATTCACCATGACTGAACATGCTAGAGCCTTTTTGATTTCGTATTCGTGGTTATCAAACAAATTTATGCAGCTTTCAAGAAAATTTCACCCTAAAAGTGTTTTAACTAAACGAAATTATTAAATAAGGTATTTATGTTATAGATGATCGGGATGATGTCAACAGGTATGCTGATCGGATAATGAGCAGATGTATGACTGTAGAAGTAAAAGTACTTACCCAACGAGATAAAATGCAAGAAGAAGCCTTGTTCCAAGTAAACCATTTGATTGATGGACTTGTGGTGGCTCTGAAGGGAGATCCCGAGTCTGCCAAGGCTAGATGTGTAACCTACATGAATGCTTGTTCATCGAATTTAGTACAGGGAATTACTGACAAAAACTTTGAATCTGCTTTACTTGGGTGTACCCTTGATGATCAAAAGAAGGTCAAGAGAAGGCTTCAAGGCCTGCTGACTTATTTTGAGAAAATGAAAGTAATATCTCTTCAATGATTACCATCAAAATAATATTTGTATCGTTGAGAGTTATATAACTTGTATACACTTCAATAAGATTGGCCAGAATTGTTTGTGTCAACTTATTCTGAAAATACACATATAGTTTCTACAATCATTTTGAAAAGTATCTGAAGGTGTCGTCTTTGGAGTATATTTATAGTTTACACATTTTAAAGCTACTGGAACAACTGAATCTTGATTAAAAAGATGTTAGGGAAAAGTATGTAAATTAGTTTCGTCAAAGTTATGGCCCACTCATACTTTTACTTAAATAAGGTTATTACAATGTAAATCAGTGGGAGCATTCATACACTACACTTTCATTTACTTTCACGAAAATCCTTTGAAAGACTTATTTTTGATTCCTTGAATTGAAAAAATGTGCATATAGTTTCTACAATCATTTTGAAAAGTATCTGAAGGTGTCGTCTTTGGAGTATATTTATAGTTTACACATTTTATACTTTTAAATATCTTGTATCCTATTTCCCCATCTGAAAGTTAAAAAAATCATTCCTAATTACTTTACATTCAAGAAATCTTGTTACAGATGGTATCAGGAAATGACCACCATCTCAATAAATTCTCTATTCATCAGTATGTCCAATAGTTTATTCTTATAAAAAATTATAGGTGTGGGGTTTGAATAAGAGAAATATTCTACTTATCAAAGTTTATATCACTCGTTAAAATTCCATAATAGTAGGCACTAAATTCTCAGAAATATTGCATTAAAACGAAAACATTGTTGTTCTATTGTGATTCTATATATTTTATCAGCTGATGATATCTGATAAAATATATTGAATCACAACCTGACAACAATGTTTTCATTTTAATGCAATAATATTTATGAGAATTTACTGCCCTATTATGGAATTTTAGTATATGGAAGTCTGAACTAGTAAAATTCACAGATGATTTATCTGTTTCAAATCAATAAAATAATAACTTGTTACAGCATTAGAAAAGTATATTTCTTATTGTGTAGTCACAATTGAAAAATGCCAAACTGAGTTTATTTATACAGGTTATCTTTCAAAAAACTGAAATAGCAATAAAACCAAACAGCATTTTTCAGAAATATATTCATTTCAATAAAAACAAGCAGCATTCTTCAGAAATATACTATTCATTTCATATGTGTACTTACAAGTCAATTTAGTTTTTTTGGAAAGTATATTGGTTTCGAATTTACAAATATAATTGTTTCATTACTGATCAGTTTCTCTTGTCTTCACAAAATTTTATGATGGCATTACTTCAGCACAAAGGCGACGCAGTAATTTGTTTTCAATATTTGAAAACTTCACAAACATTGTGAACAGCATAAGCCTACTTTCGGAGCATCATGTATTCCAAATAATCAAAATTAATAAATGTAGCTTTCTTTTGTTCCCATCTAGCTACAAAGATATTGAGATGTATTCCATTGATAGCTTTTCAATTATCTATAAGGTATTATCAATGAAATGTTGAATAAAATATGAATCGATTCAACTGTGTTTTATTTTATGTTATAACAGAAAAAAAGCTTCAGAGATTGTGTATAGCAGAATCTCAGTATTCTCAACACACTAACATAAACTGAAATAGTGTAAAATAGGTTTTTTAATAAAAAGAGGTAGGTACTGGTTCAAGAGAAACACTGAAAAATTATGTGAATAAATGCCTGACTGAACCCAACAGTTAGTTCTCAGTGCATATTGTTGACTTTCTTGTGAACTTAATTTTTTAAAACATTGTGCCTAGAATAAAAATGCTTTACATCCTGTCTTCACTATTGGTTTTTTAATTGAGGGGTTCGTTGATGATTACTTGAAACTGAAATAATTCAGGAATTCTAAAACGGAAACCTGAAATTTTTCAATAAACTTAAATAGAATATCCTCATTCCTCTTTATTTAGCAGAAATCTGAAGTAGAGCAATATTTTGTTTAAAAAAAACTGGTGAATTTGTTCAAGTGAGAAAATATAACTACAGTACATTTGCCAAGGAGTACGCCTCAAAGATCATGTCAAAATAGGATTTATGCTAACTGGCCACATTTCACAAATATCAGAGTGAGTGGGTTTTTTGTGTTCAATGTAGAAGTACGAATTTTGTATATTATTTCAATATGCCAAAGTATCGTGTAAGAATTAATGAAATCAAAAAGAAAAAATAACGGTGGCCTCAAGTTGTGCTGCAAATTCTCCAGCAGATATGTAAAGCTACTGGAACAACTGAATCTTGATTAAAAAGATGTTAGGGAAAAGTCTGTAAATTAGTTTCATCAAAGTTATGGCCGACTCATACTTTTACTTAAATAAGGTTATTACAATGTAAATCAGTGGGAACATTCATACACTACACTTTCATTTACTTTCACGAAAATCCTTTGAAAGAATTATTTTTGATTCCTTGAATTGAAAAAATGTGCATATGCGTCAATCAACAGTGTAGTCATTATTTGCAACAACCATGTTCTTTGTTCATATTGGCATTATGTTATTATATATGAAGTGTAATAGCAACACATAATTGATATATTTTCCCAACTTTCTCCTTTCAATTCCGAATGTCACTTCAAATATTTTTAATAATTTGTCCCAATAATTTGAAAATCAAAACACCCTAAACTTCTGCATGAGCTACTTTTTCTTTAGAGGCTATTGACCATTGGAAAGTCTATTAAGTACCCCAGGAGTATACTGAATGTTGTGTACATTTGGTTCGTTTTACATCGGAACCACAAAAAGGAGCGTTAAAACGCGCTTGACTGGGCATAAAAGAACTTGCTGCTATGGCCAGACAGATGAATTGCCAGTTTCAGAAGACGCTCTCTCAGAGGGTAGCTATGACATTGCCTTCAAACATACGCAAGTTCTGGATAAAGCCAGAGGGAAAGCTCAAACATTAATAAGACATGTATACCGATACTTCACAAAACAAAGATTCTCCCAATAACTGAAAAAGGGTCGGACCGATAAGATACAAGAGCAGTCGGCCGTCCGAAACCTAGTCCCATTAAAAGTACAAACACACCAGGAACATTTTCAGTTCAGTTTGTATATCGCAGCAAGGTAAATCACATCGAAAGTTGCCGTACCGCCTTTGATAATGTACGCCAACATAGCAGACGAAAGGTCATGTATAAAAACCTGCAGATCATGGATAATGAACTCGGAAACGCAGTCAGCCGTGCGACACCTAGTCCCATTAAAAGTACAAACGCACCAGGAACATTTTCAGTTTGCGCATTTCAGCAAGGTAAATCACTTTGAATGTTGCCGTATCGCCTTTGATGTCTACCGCAGTAGTAAACGAAACGACATGTATAAAAACCTGAAGATCACAGATAATGAACCGGAAACATTGGGCTATTTGTTATACCATTGAGTGTTCGATATGGGTGAAGATTTGTGGACAAAGGAGTTATCAACTGGATTAATGACACAAGTTTTTAATTTCAGTTTGATGATCCAAGATAGCACAACGTTCTCATTCCTTTCTCTTAACCTATTTTAATAGTAAACATTTTATGTCAATACCTGGGTTTGAGTTATTGAATTCATTATATTAATAATTGGTTGACAAATTCATTATTTTTGTTTTCTCTGAATTTATTAGATATTCATTTTTATCTACAATTCATTTCACAATGTAGTATGTATAAAACCTGTTATATTTTCTTTTTTTTTTACTAGGAGATATCATGTGTCTGAGACCTTAATTACAATTATTTTTTGTTATTGTGAATTTATATATCCAACTTAGAGAATATAATAATTAGGTTATTTTAAATACTAGTATAGGATTTTACAATGACACTAGAATTCAGTTGACAGAAATCATGTTTTCAATTGAGAAATACATGAGGTTTTCGTGTTAGCATATTTCATTGATTTTTATCGAGGTTGGTTAATCCAGTGCATAAAAACGGTCAACGTTAGTTCCAATGGAAGTGCTTATCCGATTCATAATCAATACACAATTCATAAGCCCACTTCGTAATATATAAACTTGTTGATTATAAACCTCGACTTTCATGAATTTATTTTTTGACAAACATTTCAAATTCGCCCACAGTGGGTAAACAGAATAGTTATTCTCCTAACCTCAAAATGTATACATTCAAAATTGTAGTGCCAGACTGAAATGATATTTAAATTAATTTACCATTTTGCACAAAACACTAGTAAATTGTACACATAAACTTTCTCATGGAATTACTCCGTTCATTAAGGAGAATCATTGAATCCAAATTGGATTGGAAGGATTGCAATAAGAATAAAAAAAAATCTTAGAACTTGGCTCATATCAACGCTAAAGTATCTAGAAACACTAAGGATTTCAACGATTTTTGAGCTGATTGCTTTTAGACAGATACGACAGATTTTGTTTCAAAATATGAAATGATTCATGTTCATAAGTCAACGGTAAACGCCGTTTCTATTATACATTAATAATTTGTCCACATTAAAGATATAAATTGTATATTATCAATAACCAATGTATCCAGTAAACCAGCTCATGAAATGACACAATGTGAGGGTTTCAATCTCGAAAACATTTCTGTATTTAGTTTATATTTGATAAGTAATTTTGCCTTATTAGTTAGTAACTGCTATTTATCCCTTCATATTCTTAGATAATATGTATGGATATATAAATTCATCATTTTTTACAATTATTCCAACATACATAATTAGTATAAAGTTGGAGACGAAAACAAATGCAAAATATCTTCATTGCAACATTGACTATGAATCAAGAAATCTTTACATCTGTTTGTTGTATTTTTTGTTCTTAGAACTATTACACACAATAAAACAAAGAACTCTGTAAGAGCCATAGTTGAAGGTGATAAATACATCCAACAATAAATGAAGCATAGAACAATAGCAACAGCTTAACAATTATATTCTTGAAAAGAGAACACATTTCCTGTTTACTTTAGTTACATCTTCAGATATATTTATTACTGACAGTAAATGAGTATTTCTCAGGATATTATATGCCATAATTTTTTTAGTGTTTAGGTTACTTCAAAATACCTTTATTTTTAGCAATTTATTTTTTATAAATGTTACACTTACACCTACTATATTTGAAACACATTCCATACTCATAAAGTGAGTAGGTATATATAATAAAAATATCTTCTTTAAGATAGAGCAAATTAATTTTGCAAAACGAAAATATTTTCCAATCTCGCCTTTGTCTCAATAAATTTTCTAAAAATATATACAATGTTAAAATTACAGGCACAGTTCCCAACCGTAACAATAAATTGGTCGGGTGAATAGTTGATATCTCAATTACTTATACTGGTTAAGGTGCTCCTGATCATGAAGACATTGGCAGAACACTTCAATATTGAATGAGTAAATCCTCGATTTCCAATGTCAACTTAGAAAAAAGGGGCCTTTCATGTGGATCCGCTTGCCAGCACGGGTAAATTATGCGGATATAAACAGCCTTTGGACAGTTAGGTGGACAAGGAAACCTGTTGAAAAATAATGATGAAAACAATAAAAAAAGTATTTCCAAAAATATTCATTTGCTAATCCTATAAGAAGATGAAAGAATTTATCAATGGAGTGGTTTCAAGAAAAGATTCAGGATTCTTCAAAATTAACGTAAAATTTGTAAAAGTGGTGAAATTAGATTTTGTATTTAGTTGATATTGATAAGTATTTTTGCCTCATTAATTAGTAACTGCTATTTACTCCTTCTTATTCTTAGATAATGTGAATTTATATATAAATTCACCATTATTTACAATTATTCCAACATATATAATTAGTATATGGTGAAATGAGAATTTGCACAAAGCTTATTGATTACAATTTTTATTTTTTTACTTCACACTTTTCTTTCGGTACACAAAAAAGTGAAACAAACTGCAAAAAATTTGCTCAGTGATCTATACCAACACACAAATTTCTATAAATTGATGGATGTAGCTGTACCTAAGTGGTAGGAGATCATCATGAAAAATGAAGATTAAAACTTCCTATGATTTTTACTATTTGTATTTGTAACTAAAGTTACTGTAGTTTCGCCCTACAAGAACATTTTCAAACTAATAGAGTTGTATTTAAAACTGCAGTAACGTTGGTTACAAATACGAGTGGAAAAAAACAGGAAGCTTTAATTATCATTTTACACAAATTTGTATTTTATTCGATCCAATCGGAAAATCTCAGCCTGTAGACAGTATTCTAAAAATACGGTTTCTTTGTTCCAAGGTTTTTGTGATAAAAAAATATCACAAACTGTTCAAGTGGAGGGGACAATGAACAGACCTAATTGAGGACCAGCGAGAACAATCTTTACAATTCCGAGAATCAACTAGGCCAAAAAGATGACATTTTTTCTGCTTTGAGGCAAAATACATAATCTGAAAATTACAATGGACAAACCAAAACAAATCATAAGGTGAATTTTTAGAAGATGAACTAAATTACTAGAAAACATGTAACATGATGATTCCGTCTTTAAATCACTAGAGGATCAAAATATATACACTTTACTGATGAGGTGTAGACAGTCAATATGTTGAAATACATTTTCAGATACTCTCAGAAAGGAGACTATAATGACTCTAGAGAAGATTGTCCTCAGAGGGGTGTAATTACCTCTGATATGATTGTTACTTGTCATTAACCTGATACTGAAGCTGCACAAGCACAGCTGAACGATTCAAGGTTGCCTTAGCGGTCATTATCAGGGGGAAGCCCAATGGGGTCATATCAGAATCCTAGCAAAACACTGCAGGTACTTACTTGAATGGAAAAGTATGAAATTCTGCTCAAAATGTTGAAAAAAAGTTAAAATTTCTGAAAGTATTAATTGCTAAAAAACTTGAAAGAGTCATCGATGATATTACTTTCAAAGCTGCAGCAGCATAATGTCGCAAAGTAATTGGAAAGTTTTGTGAAAACAAAAATGATTCACTGTTAATGAAACTCATGATTACAATGCGCAAGTCAATTTGAAAAATTGCAATTAATCGCCAGTTTTTTACGTAATCAACTGCAGCTCTAGATTTAATTCTGAATCTTACACAATTACATTCATGTGTAACAAAAGGAGCAGTTACCATTATTATCTTTAGGACTCTGAAAACAGAAAATATGAAAAATCTTTGTAGGAGTATTTCTATATACATCTAGAGGTTCTACTTTTCACTGCAAATATTTATTTTATTTCATACACTGTTCTATAGGATGAACCAATTACAGAATAGGGAGAAACAGTGGCATTTACAAATATGTACTTGCATAGTATCATTTGTGAATTTATATAAAAAAAATTAAAAACAACTGTCAGTCTTTTAATTTGTATAATCTGGCAGTTAAATATATCTAGGACACGACTAACAGAAACTGGCCGATACTTGATGAAACTCATCAATATAGTTTATTGTATGATTTTCACTATAAAGGGTTTCAAAAAAACCGCGACACGTGTTTCGCTATACAATAGCTAGTTAATAATGCTTGAGAAAGCTATTGTATAGTGAAACACGTGTTGCGGTTTTTGTAAAACCCTTTATAGTGAAAATCATACAATAAACTGTATTAATGAGCAAATATTTCACCAGCTAGAAAAGTCTTTTGAGTGGAATATAGAATAGTTATAAACAGCTGCCGAACGGTCACCCTCTATGACAAACAGGCGTACCGATCCAGAATTATCTAGGTGTTATGATATACTAAGAGTTAGTTACGATGTCGATATTAAAACTCTTTAATCCCTTTGGAATCACCTTCACCATCTTACTATAGAGTCCTGTGTTCAGGAATGTCTTTGAAAATCACCTGCCACGCATCTATATTTTAGCAGTACTGTCAGCTCGGTGACTAAACTTATTTAGTTATGTGATGGAATTGGCCGATATTTGATGAAAATCTAAACGTATTCAAGTTAACACTTCGTGAGATTTTCTCTGGACAGTTAAAAAAAAACAGTAATACTTGTTTTGCTATACAATGGCTTCCTCAAGCATTTTCATACTGATCATCAGTATAAAAGCTATACGAATTGATTTTTCTCTCCCACAAGTAGGCCTAGGGATTTTTTTCAGTCCCAAATGAGTTTATACAAGCAACCCTTCATTCACTGGACGTGTTTTGCTATACAAAGACTTCCTCATGCGTCTTCATTTTGATCATCAATATATTGTGTAGTGGTTTTGTTAACTGTTCAGTGAAAATCTCGCAAAAAAGTGTTACTTGAATAAACCTAGTTGAGACTGCAAAAAATCCCTAAGCCTACTTGTGGCAGAGAAAGTATCACCTAAACCATTTACTAGAATTTATACTACAAAGACAAGTGTTTTAGAATGATTTGAGAGAGACACCTGCAGCGCAAGAATCTACATCTTATCAGACATGAAAGCAGCACCGCAAGCTCTTAAATTCTAAACTGACTCAGAACTATTACTACTCATGGCAAAATAAAATGCACGCATATCGAACAGTTATCAATTTGAATATGGGTGAAATTCAAAAGTATCAGACAAATTCTTGCCTGTCTTTATGTTGTTTTGAAAACAATAGCTTGTTCTGCCAAATAGCTCCTCAATATGATTTTCTTCAGAAGCTGCAAATTTTTATATTTTTCCTTCTTAGTTTTCTTAATCATTATTTTATAAATGTCACTCATTAAAAATGTTAGAAGTTCAAAAATGGGGGAATTTTATCAAGTAAAAAACAGATGTATATTGATGGAGAAGGGGTAGAAATAAAAAATATGTTTTTTTACAAATCTACCATGTTTTCTGATTGATTCGGCCATTACTTGATGAAGATACATAGTAGTTTCACAAACTACACTTCACGATTTGATCTCCACAAACTTTATTTGAAAAATATATCACGACATGTGATTCAAATCATTGTTGATAAAGCTACTGTGTTTTAAACATGTCGTGATATACTTTTCTGATAATGTTTATGGAGATCAAATCGTAAGGTGTAATTTTAGAAATCTATCATGAAAGAGTTTTACATCCAACCACTTTCTATACTTTACAGCCAGCCAGCTATGTAGCCTTTGTATTCAAGAAGCTCATTTAATGTTTCAGTCTCAGTAAAAGTCGAAAAACCTATATAATCAGTTAGTCCATCAATGAATCTTACAGGCATAAGGCTATATCTGAGAAACCTAAATAACACTCTATAGAGTTCCATATATGTTTGTAATGTAACGTATTTCCCGACACAAACAGAAAATTTATTTATAATCATAGTTTAGTTCTCATAGTAATTTCATAAACTATACCTTACGATTTGAAATTACTATGGATCTTCATCAAGTAAAGACAGAATCAATCAGAAAAGTTTATTTCTCATTGGGAAACAAGTCTATGATTCGATATCAATCATTTAAATTTATATACTACAGAAACCCATACCTTGCACCTCGTTCCAATGCCGTCAAAAGAATTTGTTGCTGTTGACCTTCCATCTTTTCATCGATGTAAGTCAAATTTGGTTCTTCTCCATAATTGAACATTTCGCACATCGTCACTCCATATGACCACACATCTGAACGCACCGAGAATTTGCCATCTCTCAAGCTCTCAGGAGCATACCTTTGAAAATTATTGATGATTGTAGTTATAATTACTCACAACATTTATAAGCATTTATAAGTCATATATATATTGATGACATCAGTTTATGTCAAAATTGTAACTTTATGAATTTATTTGCTGATGATACAATGTTAACAACATCTCATAAAGATTTAGAGATAGCTTTGACAAAAATGAATATCTGCTTGGAGGAGATTCATAAATACTTGAACGTCAACAAATTAAAACTAAACGTATCTAAAACAAAAGCCATGATTCTGACCACAGCATATAAATATAATGTTAGTATAGTCTTATCTAAGTTAGTTAACTTTGAATTTTATTTCCTTTTCTATTTTATTTCTCAACATTGTTAGGTTACAGTCATATGTATGACTCTAGTTATTAGTTATTATTATTGTTGGTTAAGGACATATTATTATTGTTTACTGATTTATTATTATTATTATTATTGTATGTATATTAGGATTTCCTAAATAAACGTATTCATTCATTCATTCATATGTGTTCTTACCATTTGATAGGCAATTCCCTATTAGGGGTTTTCAAAATATAATAGTCATTAGTGCCCATAACTTGTGCCAATCCAAAGTCAGAAATTTTCACGTGGTTTTCATCAACAACAAGAATATTACGGGAAGCCAGGTCTCTGTGAACAATATTTTTCTTTCCTAAATAATCCATACCCTGAAAATTTGGATAAATTAGTAGTTTTCCCCCCATTAATTTATTACCCCACCTTTGCAATATCAAGAGCATATTTTAAAAGTTGTGCCTCCTGCAATAACTCCCTGTATATTTTTAAATAACTCTGCAGAGATCCATGGTGAACGAATTCCATCACAAGTGATATTTCTGGCTCTCTCAAAACACCCAGTATCTCCACTATGTTCGGGTGCTTCAGAGACTACAATTAAAATTAGAAGAATTAGTACTTGGAACACTTGTAATTTCAAAAACGCACCTTCATAATGTTAATTTCTCGTTCAAAATCTTGCAAACAGGAAGAAAGTGCAGAAGATTTCAATTTCTTCACAGCTACTTTTCGGAGATCCTCAGAATCACCATCTACACATTCTAATGTTCCTTTAAAAACTTCTCCATAAAATCCCTAAAAGTTGAATAATTTATTTGATTCATTTTCAATATGAATGGATTGAATACCTGTCCTATTCTCCCTTGTAATACAACATTGTAATTTCCATCTAGCTCAAAAACACTCTGCATTGAGTTCAAACTGTCAAGAGAGGTGGTAGCAGTAGAAATATTGAAATTTGACATTAGATTTGACCAATCATAGGCATTTGAGTCCTCAAGCTCCTGGGAATCCATCAACCAGTTTTGAGATCTTATCAAAGAAATACTTGATTCATCAGAAAATTCGTTGTCTACATCTCTAGCTTCTACCAGATCATCCGAATAGGCAGCAGTAGTAGATTCTAAAAATTATAAAATAATTCAGAAAAGACCATAAATGACAAAATCTAAATTGAGATAATATACAAAGTTCCACTTTTTTATCACAACATTAATATTATCTACTTAATTACAAATTGTCGATTCCCTTTTCTTCTGCTCTCTGTTATCATCAATTACTTCACACACTCAGTCAGAGTCAAGACAAAATTTTTAAATCTTATAAGCAACTCAATCCTTTCGCCAAGAAATTCACAATGGAAGTATTCTTTCAACAAAACAATACTCTTTTATATATGATGAAAGTAAAACTTTATGCTGAAGATTATATGGTAGAAACCGTGGCTTTGTTTGATGGAGGTTCCAATGTGACTCTATTGAGATACTCCACTTGAATGAAAAGTTAGAGCCGTTTTGTAGTATACATGGGACGAATATGACATCTTGACCAAATTTTGACGCATTTTACATGATAACTCTGCCAAACCTGAAATCAAACTATATTTCCTCATATCTGAAATGTTTGCAATGGTAGTCTTGAATTAAGGAAACAATCTTTCATCACAGAACATTACCTTAAAGAGATAGTAGAACCAATAGTTGATCAAGATTGGGCAGATTAGAAAAAGTACTCTTCTGACAAAACCAAAAAACCAACAATTCACGACATATTTGTGTCTTGAAAGGAATTTAAATAGTTCATCGAATCAAAAGGACTGGTATAAAAAAACAGTAAATCATACTTCTGACGAAAATAGAGAGAATAGGTGGAAAGGAAAGACAAGCCAGAGAAATTCAGATGATTGATTCTTCAGTAGAATGTAAGAAAGGCATAATAAAAGTTACAGGTCAAATAATAATGAAGAAAAGAGAAATGAAACTTTCTATGTTTTTACCACTTTTATTCGTAACTAACGTTACTGCAGTTTCGTTGTATACAGACATTTTCAAACTTATATTATAAGTATAAGTTTGAAACTTATACGGTAAGTATAAGTTTGAAAATGTCCGTATAGGACGAAACTGCAGTAACGTTAGTTACAAATAAAAGTGGTAAAAAACATAAAGTTTCATTTCTCTTTTCTTCATTAGTATGGGAAATTTTCATAATCGCTGATGATTACTTATTGAAGAAGTTTTGGAATCAAGGTCTATATAGTAGAATGAGTTGTTTATCCAGCAGTAGATGTAAGAGCTCGAGTTTGCTGCAAAAACTTCTGGGACCCTTGACTAGTCAAAGTGTGAAGAATGATTGAAGAATAGTAGATAGGAGTATAATTTCTTCACGAGGGGGAGAATGTTACTTTATAGTGGTTATTTATTCTTACATCCCGTATATAGATAATTTTGACAGAATAAGTTGTCGACAAAGAAAGGAAAGTCATTGTACTTTTGATACGTACTTTAACATTTTTAAAGAGCCAATTTGAAACCGATATGAAATCAAATATATTATTTATACAATAAAGTTGAATCTACATTATTTACTTGTGATGCACTGTTTGAAACCTTTGGTGTGGTAATGGATATTACCGGAGTTTTCTCAACACCAAACCGTTATTTCAACACCTCGACACGTGTTTCGATCACCAAGTGATCATCTTCAAGAGAAAGATTAAACTCTTATTATTGTTGGGAAACAAAGATATACTACCGTCGTCCCACATAATATATTTGCTGTATATCCTTGTCAGTGTTGAGAGATTGATCTGTAAGTTTATGCAGATGATTTTGTCATATTGGCAAGTACTATGTTGGAAAGCGTAGCCTGTAGTATCCTGGAGCAAATTCCTGATGAACTAAATGTTAAAATCAAACGGTTCAGATGAAAATATCTAGTGTACAGAACCATGGTTGCCTGGTTATCTCCATTGCAATTGGCACCGTCATGTCAGTATTCATGAGAATCCTTCTAGACCTACCTCCTCTTCACATCGACATTCAGAATTGTCCACATTGCCAATCTGACAAAAAAGGCTCATGCGGAGCATATCAGATTACTGGTCGATACAAAAAGTCACAGCATTCCAGGAATGACCTCTGACCTATTACCTCCCTCTGGGAGGAAATAACTGTTAGTCATCTGATTAATCAAATGTAACTTCATGTGCGACCGTTCTTCAGGCGGATATCTACGCCATTGATATACGAGTGGATTAATTGGAAGATACTAACCTCACACATAAATCAATAAAAATATTCTCTCTTAGCGTTGGTAGCACTTGGCTCTCACCGCACAACGTTCTAGTTGGAGACTATCACCAACAGAAAGTCTTAACAAATTGTTGGTGGTCTGGGTTCCTGGCCATACAGCAGCCCCCTCCCTTGCCAGAGAGGAGGCTGCAAGCGATTTCATTGGACCAGAACTTGTCATAGGCATCGATTCAGGCTATGTCGAAGAAATACTGAATGTGTATTGCAGGATTGGCCCATTTGAAGGCAGTTATATGTGCTCCAAAGTATGTTACGAAACAATTATTAGATTACAGCAGGGATGACTTAAGTTATCTAACAGAGCTAGTTACAGGTCAGTGTCATTTTGATCATCATGTGAAGAAATGTGGCCTGTCAGAAGACAGTGGGTGCCACATCTATTAGGAAATACATATATTTGCATGCCGCTGATCGAATCAACTTTTCAGTGTTTGGCAGAGATTCATTCTCGCCATTTGACCTGAAATATTCACCAAACCACAATGAAGACTCGCGGATCTCATTGGAGGGTCGAAAAGACTCGTTTTGAACCTACCTGCACAATATTATTGATTTAAAACCCCTTTTTAGTAAATTCATTATCTTACCTGTAATATTAGAACATGAACTATTTGCTGAGGTGCTAGCAATGTTTTGAGTATCAATGGACTTGGTGAAAACTTTGGCATACGAATGAATGCGTCTTGAGTTGTAAACTAAAAATGAAAGGCAATGAATAAATATAATTCTAATTTGAGATTAGCTCCCTCACTTTCATATAAAATTTGGTTGACATCTCGCATAATTGCTTGAGGTTTTTTTCTTTTGTGAGGGTCAATATCCCAGCATTCCTTCATTAGACTATAAATTTCATTTGAGCAACTGCGGGGTTGTGGCAATCTTTTTCCACTGACATACCACTGAAAAAAATCAACAAAACTTTTATATTGGAATGGACAAAAAGCAAATTCAAATAAATTACTACAATATCGAACTTTCAACTTATTTTCATCAATAATGAAATCAACTCTCAGAGCTATACTATTCTCTTCAATAATATAAATTAAAATCTTTTTCAGAAAATGTTTTCATTTGTATGTTATCTCAGACAGTTTAATAATATATACCTACCCTCATGGCTTGAACATGGTCAGAAAAATCAGTAGGCTTGATTTCTTCACCATACATGAATATTTCCCAAAGAGTGGTTGCAAATGACCATACATCGGCCTCACTTGAACGTTTAGCATAATCCAGATTTGAGTAACATTCAATTGGTATCCAATGAACTCTAAAATCAGAGCAGTGAAAGTAAATACTAACAATGCAGGATTTTTTTTGATGAACTCATTAGGTAATTAAATTATAGGTTATTCAATGACTTTATGATCTTCGATCTCAATTAAATATTGAAATGATAGTTAATTGTTGGAAAAATGTTATTTTGGGAATATGTTTTGTAGATCAAAATTAAATTTATAAAGAATATAAATACTCACTCAGACGAGGCATATTCTACATGAATACCTGGATCTGTTAATTTCACTGTGAATGAATTTTCATCATGTGAATTCACCATCACCTTTCGGCATCTAATATTTCCATGAACAATTTCTTTTTCAGTCTGAAAGCGAAATATAGTTTTTTCAATGATTTTCCCATGGTGAAGATTAATTAATTTTGCAATTCCATTTTTCATCAAAGCATTCACTGTCAAAAAACACTTAACGAAACTTACCAAATGCCACAATGCGGAAGCCAAATTGCATGTGGCTTCTATCAAATCAACAGGCTTCAAAATACCCTTATTCTTTCTTAAGTAGTCATCAAGAGGTCCTAAACGAAAATACTCAAGCACTAGAGATATATTACTAGTGAAAGCTATTCCGAATAATCTCACTATTGCACTAGATTCCAAGAAAGCCCATTGTCCAGCAAGAGTTAAAAAATCCTGCAACATGAGAATATAATGAGATCGCATTCAATTAAAATGAAAAACATTTTTTATGACTATATACAGGGTGTCCCACATAAAACTTCGCGGGCAAATATCTGAAAACTGAGAGAGAATATTCATATTTCGTGAAGGCAGATGATTTTGATATCAAAGGGTCCTCTTATTTGCGAAGAGCTCCAACAATAGGCGTCATCCATTAGGGCGTCGCGACACCGACGCCAATTTTTTTAAATGGTAACCTAGATTTTCCGATACGTTTTTGGATTCTGCATTGAATTCTGAATTCAGCCATTTAGCACATTTGTAGTTTTCCTTGAAAACTGTGAAAAAAGGTAATTTTATTGCATAGTATAAAGAGAGCCATAAATAAGTCAAAATGAATGCAATTCAATTTTATCTAGTTGCGTATTAAAATAAATGTTTCATTACAAAAAAATATCTTACTTTGACCATAACTCGACTAACATGATGATAATGAAATCAATTAGTGATAACAAAAATCATTTTAGTAAGTGTACGAACTGCCTCCCTTCACCTAAAATACAAATATTGCATCTTTTTAGTAATTCCCGATTCGTGACAGCTAAAAGCGTCTCTTGCGTTATGGAAACACAAACATTTGTGATACTATTTTTCAAATCCTCTACATTTTGTGGACGTCGCATATAAACTAAGTCTTTGATATATCCCCACAAAAAGAAATCTAGTGGAGTAGTATCTGGACCCTTATTTCCAATCCATTTCTCATTAAAAGTATCATCCAAATATTGAGTAACCATTCTATTATTATGTGGAGGTGCCCCATCTTGTTGAAATCTCATATTCAGTCGAGTTTATATTGGTAAATTTTCCAAGAGATTCAGCAATACATGTTGTAGAAAAACCAAGTACCTCTCCTCATTGAGAATTCCTTCAAAAAAATGAGGTCCTATCAAATAACCATCAATGATTCCGCACCAAACATTAACACCCCACACAGACTGAAATCTCGTTTCTTGCACCCATTATCACAATGAGGGTTCACGTCAGACCAATAGTGACAATTATGTTTGTTTATTATCCCGTTGTTATGGAAACGGCTTTCATCACTCCATAATATTTTTTTCAAAAACTGATCATCATCGTGAAAATGAGTGGACAACCATGCAATGAAGTTCAATTTTCTATCAGCATCTCCTGAATATGGGAATATATTTTAGTTATTAAAAATGAAATATGAAGAGTATTACCTGGATGTAGTCCTTAAAACAAATGTATTTTGTATGGATGGAATTTGTTTTTTGACAAAATAGGTTGTATTGACGATTTCGAAATGTTACAATGCATTGCTACTTGTCTGGTAGAACTATATGGTTCCAACACCATTTGACATAGCACTGCAACACTGTGAATCTCATCAGTAGCCGTTTTTCGTTTTTTTCGCTTCCGTTCATTAAAACATCCATTTCATGCCAAATATTTGACTAAGACAGCAAATGTTTTGTCTGACGGTAATTTTCTGTCAGGATACCGATTAGCGTATATTCTCACTGCTTCTTTTGAATTCTTTCTTGCTTCTCCATAAATAAATATCATATCCAATTTTCTGCATTTTAAAATTGAATCATTTTTCAATTTTACGAAAAACCAACACAAAACTGAATACACTTTCGTCAAATCTGACAGGTCTTCTGACAGATCGATAAATACATTATTGCATTTATTTTCACTTATTCATGGCCCTCTTTATAATACGCAATAAAATTGACTTTTTTCATCAGTATTCAAGGAAAACTACAAGTTTGCTATATGGCTGAATTCAGAATTTGATGTAGAGTTCAAAAACCAATTGAAAATACTGGGTAACCAATTGAAAATACTGGGTTACCATTTGAAAAAATTGGCGTCGCGACGCCCTAATGGATGACGCTTAGTGCTGGATCTCTACGTAAATAACAGGACCCTTTGACACCAAAATTATCTGCTTTCACGAAATATGGATATTCTTTTTCATTTTTTTAGATATTTGCCCGCAGAGTTTTATATGGGACACCCTGTATATCATGCCTTCACATCTCAGTAAATTATTGATAAGAAGTCAATAATAACGTAGACATGCCAAAGCTATCCCTTAGGAGTTGATAGTAAAAAATCAGTTTACCTTCAAGTATCTATCTGAGTATTCCTGCTTCAGCATTTTCATTGCCACCTCGATTTTCTTTCCCTTTGTCACTTTCCACATGCTTCGAAAAACAGTTGTAATTCCTCTACTTCCTTCTCGCTTCTGACCTAATAAATACAAAATATTAGTATATACTTTAGGTACACATTTTGTATAATAGAGCAACGTTCCATTCTCCAATTGAATTTTATATATTGATAAAATTTTATCATTTACCTCATTTACATATACAAGTGAATATCAGTAGAGGTTCTTGGAAAATAGTTTTCCAGTGGAGAAAAGCATTAAAAACACTGGTTATGCACAACTCATTAAAAATCGAAATTCTATTCTCCCATATAAATAAACAATAATAAATATAAAAATTTAAATGATCTACATAATGAAAGTAACATCAATTTAATTATAATATGTACACTACACAGATCTGTACAGAGACCTAAACTAACTACAGACAATGTTCACAACATATGGATAAAACATTTTATCGACCTGCTTTAGGCATTTTCATCTTCCATAATCTGGAGAAATATAAAAATTGTAAGGTAGAACTTTATACAGGTATAGAAATGGCAAACTTTTTAGTTCATCCAAATAAGTTTCTGCATACATTCAAAGAATTATCATGAAGGAAAATGTTCTATTCATCAGAACTTGTTGTATTTAATGTTGTTGCTAATTTCTTAGCTTTGCAACAAAGCTAAGAAATTATACTTATCTCAACGTTTCAGAGACTAAAATGTATCTGTCTTCAGAATTGGAAGAATCTAAGGATGAAGAAGAAAGTCGATAAAAATTCTCATTTCCTCCACAAAAAAAGACTTTCGTTCTATATATTGACAACCTATTATCTTCAAGGGGAAGATCAAACTGTTTGATCTTTCTCTTGAAGATGATCACTTGGTGATCGAAACACGTGTCAAGGTGTTAAAATAACGGTTTGGTGTCAAAATAACGGTTTGGTGTTGGGAAAAAACTCCACTAATATTCAATACTACTCCAAAAGTTCCAAACAGTGCATCACAAGTATGTGTTTACATTTTACAAAATTTTCAATTTTGCATTTACAATACAATAGTTAATATTGAGTATATCGAATGTACAAAATAAAAATCCCATCATTGTGGGAAATAAAATTCTAGGAGTTTTTGGCCAATAGTTTAAATTCTGAAGCAATCAGATATAGCTGAAAAAATGAAGTCAGGAGGATTTGCATATGCATAAAGCATTACAAATCAACATGACTTTGATTTAATTAAAATACATTTCTTTGATTCACCACGTGAAGGGTTCGCCCATAAATTCAGTAGATCTGAGACCGCTACATACTCTGGGAGTATACTAGCCACTGTTCCTACTAACAATGGAAAAAACATTCATTTAATTTATTCTATTAAAACCTTGGTGAATGTCTACTCCTGAGCAAGCTTTATATATTTTACTCTACTGAGATTGCAGAAGAATTGAATGCTTCAAAATCAACGCTCATCTCTATCTTAAGACAATTGCTTGTTTTGAACATCTTTTTTGAATTACATCCAACATTAGAAGTCAATTCAGATTATTAAAGAAATTTCAACATTTCTTTATGTGGTGAATCAAAGAAATAGGTCTTATTGCACAAATAATTATCAAGTGTTGTTTTCACTATATATTTTCATAAAAAATATAAACAGTAATTATGCACTTCCCTAACAAGTCTATCAATCCCTTTGGATACAAACTACAAGATTGTTGTAGGAAATGAAAATGAATCTAATTTCTACAATGCATAACTTTCAACATTAAGAGAATAAGAAATCAAAATTAAAATGTTTTAAGTTGAATGATAAATAACCATGAATATAAAACTATATCTGAATAACAATGCCTATAGTTCAACAACAAAAATTATTTCCTCCTATTTCTTTCATATCTCGAATTTCTAAGGGTACAAAATTTGAAGTAAATTACAAGAAAAAGCACAACAAGTAAAACAACTACAACAATAATCGCAATGATTCCAATAAGAACGTTCCTGTCAGTTTTCATCCAACTAAACAAGGGAGCGGTGAGTTTATCTTCCATCAAGTTCGTGAAAAGATTCGGAGCTTTCCTCACGTTAACTCTAACATAATTAGTAATCCATGAAAGCTTCAAATCCTTCTGTTCAACAACACACTTCCAATTCCCAGAATGAGACATGTTTAAAGAATCAAAGAAGTGAGTATTTACTGCAGCTAGAGTAGTGGTACCATGGTCCATGTAAACGTTGTCGTTCAAATACAATTTCATGCTCAAATCAGAGTAAATGTACCCCAAAATTACAGAATTACACGAGAGAGTCAAAGAATGGGTAGCCCTGGTTTCAATGTTGTACTTTTGTGACTTCACTGCTAGAGATATCACTCGCAGTACTACTCTTTTCTTGTTTATTCTGAATAACATGCACACATACAAACCGGCATCAAGGAATTTGACGTTTTTTATTTTGATGTTTTGGTTTTCAAATATCACACGATCCTGTTCCGCCTTAATGAAAAGTCCATTCAAGGTCCATTCATAGTAAGCTTTAGGGGATTCCTTACCAATAATTTTCAGCAACTCCTGATTGTTTTGCAAAACTTGACTAGAACCTAAAAAGGAGTGGCACATTATTTTCAAATGACGTATTAATCATGGTTACAAACTCCTTTCAAGTTGGACATATGTGATATTATCACGTTTACAGGACAATAATCTGAGATACACCACAAATGATCTCCTATATGAATATTCACATTGTATAGGGTGATAAGAGTACATTCAATAACTTGAGAATTTTATAATTTTGGAGACTGTAGCTATTGAACATCGTTTTTTGAGATCCACGCTCTTCGCTCAGAAAGAAAGGACATAATATTCCAAACGTTACGACTTGTGATTGATACGGTGATTAAAATTTTTTTGTTATCGACTTATAATTGCCTCAACTTACAGTGCTATCATTCCTAAGGAAAAATAATCCTCTAACGAATAGTTTGTTTCTAAATACATATACATTTTCCCAAAAATATTATTAATGAATAATACTAAATATTACTATACAATATTATTACAAAAAAAAGTTTAAAGAATCTTCCATCAAAAATATATTTCAATAAGGTAGTGAACCAAATGTCAAATGTACTAATGAGAAACAAGATATAGGATGACAAACTTGTATAGGAGCAGTTAGTTAATCAAATTGATGGATGTAGCCGTTACTATGTGGTAGGAGATCATCATTAAAAATTAAAGTTTATATGTTTTTTTACCAGTTTTATTTGTAACTGACGATAAAAGTATGAAGATTTCCTTATACGACAAAACTGCAGTAACATTAGTTACAAATAAAAGTGATAAAAAAAAACAAAAAGTTTCATTTCTCATTTTTCAGTTAGTTAATTTAACAGAGAGCCATTTCTTTTACTATAAATGGTAGGGGATTCATTTGAAGTAGGATTCTTGACAGAGTCTGGCATGATGAACTTCAGGCCAAAATGATCAACTTTGACTACACGAAACCAATGGTAAGATTAATCGAGTCTTTTCTAGCTGAAAGGCGATGCCGCTGCAGAGTAGGACAAGAACTCTCAACGATGCGATTACTGGAAGCAGGGGTCTCACAAGGTGCAGTCCTTTCGCCACACATCTCGGTATACACAGCAGACGTGCCCAAGCCGGAGAACAACTTTAACAAGTTGGCGCTCTACTCGGACGACACAGCTCTGCTGGCGAGATCAACAAGCCAAGCGCACGTCACCAGATACTTGCAGCAACAGGCAGATAGATTAGAGGAATGGGTCAACCTGTGGAAGATCAGTATAAACCCTGACAAGAGTCAGGCAATACTGTTCACCCGGAAGGAAATGCCATATTCAACGGACAAGATATTCCGTGGATCAACGAAGCTAGATACTAAGGGGTCAACCTAGGCAAAAGAATAACATTCAGGTCTCACGTACGGCAGATAATAGGAATGGCGAGATCTGCCCGACAAAACCTATTAAAGATAATAGGCCGAAGAAGCAACATGGGATTGAAAGTGAAGCTGCTGATGATAAACACCGTAATATTACCGATAATCCTGTATGCCAGCACTGCCTGGGCCAGTGCGCAGCGACATACAGAAGACAGATCCAGTCGTTTATGAACGCATGCGTAAGGGCCGCGTAAATGCTCCAAGACATGTACCGAATAGGTACATATTCCAGGATCTACTCCTAAGCATACACTACGTAGACGCATAAACGAGAAAACACGCAGAGGACACGTATGCCAGAATTCGAGCGCACGACAATCCAGCTCTAAACGATCTACATAACGCACTGAACAGGGATGACCCCAGATTCCGAGAGAGGGACAAACACAGGAGGCCAACGAAGCAGAATCAAAGACCACCTCCGTGAGTGACTGTCAGGCGGCTTCGGTAAGTATAATTTTCTAACAGATAACTAACACTTCCTTTTCAGCTCCAAGGAGAAGCACTCGACCTTGATCTCTTTTAAAACAAGTCTCCGGTTAGTTTTTGGGGACCCCATGCAAAAATTCAGTTAGGAAAGTCAAGATGAAACAATACAACAGATCAGAAAGTAAAAGCACCTAGAGGCTGACTTTCGACCAAAAAAGGTCAGATGTCAATCTTGCTGAAGTGCCCATCAGTAAGTTGAGGACCGCTCCGGAGGGGCGGGGGTGGATGGACGAGATAGAATGTTCTGCACACATTAACCGTGTGGAGAGGATTTCAACTCAGGGCACACATCTTATGATATTTTTGGATTGAATGTTAGAGAATGCTATTATCTGGGGATTATTCAATTACGGAGGAAGTTGTCCAGGAGTTGTCTCACTCATTAGTTCATTAGACTTTCAATTTTATTGATTCTAGGTAGTAATATCTATTGCAGAAACATTATAGAAAAAAATTGAATTCATGACTTCATGACTGAAGTCCATGGAAAAATTAGCAGTGCAAGAAAATAAATATTTCGAAATAAATTTCAAAACATTAATCTCTCCCACTCTCTCACACTTTATACAGTAGGCTCTGGTAAATATCTGTTGAAAAATAACTACTTCCCCGGTTAATGCCAGGCTGAATATTGAATTATATCCGACAGACATTTATGCAAGATACCTTACATGCAGATGTTTCTCGTTCATCCAGCAGCAGGACAATGCTGAAATTTCTTGAGTAGATCACCCGCATACCGCGGTTTCGAAGTATTACCTCTCGTCAGTACAGGAAGGATCCTACCCAGACAACAAAGTGCCTGGGACTCGGTTAATTTCAACACGGCTTTGCTACATATATGAAACGATCGTCTGAGAGAAATATTATTAACTAGTAACAACTCCAACTCGTGAACAAAGCCTCAAGCAGGGAAGAAACACCCCATGTACCGAAACCCTATCAGAAATCAAAATTGAAAACTATCAGTTTCAATATGGATTTTTATCAAGTATAGGCCAGTTCTATTCATTAATTTTTCTCATACGTATGTATCTCTCATCGATAGTTTTCAATTCTAATTTCAATTAGTTGTATATTTCACTGCTCATTTAAAAGGAAATTATTATCAATTCCAATTGAAATTTCAAACTAAAGTGAAAAGTGATAAACAAAGGAAAACCTTCTTCGATTACATAGCCGAAATTCTCTTTTTGTAAATATCCTCGGATCTTCTCCAATGTTTCAGGACTGACATCACCGCAAGGAAAATCATTGCACTTGCCACTTGTAGTGGGAGAACCTTGACATAGCTTCCCGAATATATTAGGACGAGGATTGGAACAAGTTCTTGTTCGATAACCCTCTCCCCCTCCACACGACACTGTACACGTCCACGGCGACCAAGCAGACCAACCACCATCTCTTGGAGGACCATCCAAGTCCAAGGGTTCGCAGTTGGCACTCCAGATAACCCAGCCTTTCTGAGCGGCTATGGAGAACCAGTACATTATCAGAGGCTTCTGACTCTTGTGTGTCAGAACTGTAATATTATTTTTCTTGACTTTGAATTCGAACTGATTCAGGTATATGTCATATTTCGTCCAAGATGTCGTTGTCATTACCGATTCCAGTTTTACGGTTTGAAGATGGTACAGTCGAGAATCGTCCAACACTTTAGAAAAGTATATAGTGCCTAAAGCAAAAGAACATAAAGTATTTATTACTATTCGCAATCTTTTTCTTTGAAATTCTGCATTTTTGGAATGCAGCATAGAAATGCAAAAGTTGGTAAAGCTATGGGTGTGAAAATGATCGTAATATGTCGACAAAAGCTAATGTTATATGGTTCTCATGCTTCTAATCTAAAAAAAAAAATCAGTTTGATGTGCCTTCTTTACGGACAAATAACGTGCCTTTAAAATGCATATTCTGCTTGTAATACCTACATAACATTGAAATTCGTAATGTAAACATGAAATTGAAGCCGTAGTTATTTATCTATTCCGAGAATAATATGAAAATGTTGCATATATGTATAGAATTTGTATACTTCATTTTGAAGTAAGCATTTACGGAAAGATATAAGAAACACGAAATATTCCAGTTACATGTGTTTGGTTTTAATTGCTATATTTCCAATTACTCTATAAAACCTCACAAGCTTATCACGTTATATGTACTGGCTTTTCTTTGTATATAATAATAATAATTATTCCCAGAATGATACAATGAACAAGTGTGAACATTTTCTGAAACAGGAAATACTGAAGATCAGTATATGAAATAATGATAAGACAAATTATGACATAAACACCCTGTACAAAGGAAATATGTTAAATGAAGCTTATTATTATTATTTACACTTAGAATTTTGAAGTCTTCAATTTTATTCATTTAGATCATTCTCAAACTTCATATCTGTCTATTATTAAACCTAAATTCTTGGTATTGTTAAATGTTGGCTGATGAATTTACTATTCATTTTAAAATCCAAATATTTTTTTCATTTTTCAGTTTATATCCCTTATATTTATACAAATTTCTGACTGATATACCAAACAAACTTTTCAGTGTCTGTAGACACTTTGTCTGAAGGCAAAACGGTAACATCAACTCAAAATCATTCAACAAACCACGTGGTGACCTATCATCAAGTTCAATAATTGAGGGCCCTACCTTACTAAGATTTCTGCTATATTGAGGCGAGTTTATACGCTATTAAGATTAGTGATTATCAGAATGATTTGGGTACAGTTTCTATTTTTGTATATTTGTCTCACTCGGAGCTGCATACTCCATATCTTCCTAATTTGATTGTCGACAACCAAACTTATTAGGTTTTAATTGCCTGCGACCTAATTCTCGAGGCATGGTAAGTTTTTTCCCATAGAAACTGACGTCATATTTAACAATCCACGATGATTAACATATTCCCTAGAATGTCAAATTGCGTCATTCTGACGTCATGAATAAAAAATTTGCTCCTTGATGGATTGGAAAATTGGTAAGTCCCATAAAAGCTGAGAATTTATTCATCACAATGGATTCAATATCTCCCAGAGCTTAACGCAACACCGGCGTCTCGTCAACAATGCAGGTCATACCCTTTATCTGATACAGAAAGAGAACCAACATTTTTAACTAATAACCAGTCCCCATACCGTAGGTTTGCTGATTATATTGAAACCGTGAATCATGTGCCTTGAGTAAGCACAATAAAATAAGAATGATAACCAAGATTATTGACCGGCCAAATTGTGAAAACATCCGAAGGGCGCTGGGCTAAGATATCATTAGATATCAATTGTGTTCCCTGAACAGACGAAACAACAAAGAAATGAAAGAGAAGGCATCATTCCATTAAGGAGTCCTATGAGAACAACTCTTTTAACAGAATGAACTGGGTCTATTCTTACTAAATATTTATAATCAGAAATCCAAATTTATATAAATGTTAACGTTGCTTTTTTTTGTAATCTGTGGAACCACAAACACGGTAATTTTTCTATATGTCAATAAAATTATATTTTATAAGTAATTTATTAACGTTGCGTTACCTTGAAACGCATGTGAAAATAAAGCTACTATTCAATTCTAAAAAATAATCAAGTTATAAATACCATTATTAATATCCAGATTAAACAGGTAAAAATTTGGCGATTCTGGCAAAACCATTAGACGTACAGCAGTTATTCCCACACCTCTTAATTGCAAACTGAAATGTCTGAAAATGGGACGTTCATCCAACCATAATCCAATTGGGTAATATCTCTCAAAATTGTAAACAGATATATTTTCAGTGTGGCACTCGTCACATTTGAAAAACAGTCCCATAGGTTTTCCGAAAATTGAAGCATAGTTTAGATACATGGGATCAAAGTCTTTGTCTTTGTCGGCACTTTTCCATTCGAATAGAGACGTTGGCACACCTTCAAGGCCTAGCATTAGCTCGCCTCTTCTTATTTGAAGCCAGAAATCTGTCCACTTTCCTATTTTCATGGAATCATAGATAACAAGGTCGACATATATTACAGCAAAGCTCTCGAAAAGTAAATAATTTTATACCTGCTGCTATAAGGTGGGGCAGTGTTTTTTCTTGAATCAGTTTGGAGTTATGAAACAGTAGAACTTTTTCATTATATTCTGCTGCTATCTGTAAGAGGATGTTATCCAATCCGGTTTTTGAACTTATCAAAATACTGATTCCATCCAGTAGATCTGGATTCCATTCTTTGATTGCAAATCTCAGTCCTCCCCTCAAGCCAGTCTCTTTCCATTGAGGAAGAATGTAGGTTTTTCTATCTGAGAGAGGATAGAATATAGACTGAATATTAAAGAAAACAGCGAAAGTATTTGAAAGTTCCTTATACCGACTATCATAAACATCTTTCCGAAAAAAAAAGAGCTTACAAGTGTATATGTTTATATATTTATACCAACAACTTTTCAATTTTTTTTGCTTAAAAAATATGGTTAAGATGATAAATATAAAGTGGAAAATGATAAATGATGGTTCAAATGACAAGTCTTTCATTTATAATAAGAAGTGGACGGTTTTGTAACAAACAAATAAATGTGATTCTTTTATCAAATGGCTTCCAAAATAGAGTATCTCAAACATAGATATATACCTAGTAAAATTGATGCAACGACAACTGTACACTCCTCAGGTCTATCACAATCTCTAACATTACATGCATCTTCTGGAACATCCGAGTCTGTAGTGTAACACCAACTACCTGAGAAAACATTAAGTTGAGAAATTCCCAAGATTTTTTTTTTCTATCATTACATTTGTTATATTAAAAAAGAAAGTAATACAAATTATGAAACAACAAAAATTAATTGGCGCTTCGGGGCGACTGAATTGATTCCAGTGGCGCATTTGCTTTTTCAGCTGCAGGAAAACCCGGAAAAACCTGCAGCACCACATCATCTGAAGATCTTGATCTACCAATGTCCTCTCTTTCATAAAACAAAATGTAGGGTGTCGCCAGAGGCTCCAGTAAATTCAAAACATCGCCAGAACACTTCGTGACACGACTATCGTCAAACTTAAACCATTCCGTTTCGTCTTTGACCAATGCGTAATAATGACCGGATTCAACGCCAGAACCACAGTGAACAATGACTGCATGAAGATTATAATAGTGGTCTGCTAGATTGAAGTGTTCATCTCTTTCGAACTTTCGTAAGAGTTTGGTGCATCCGTCAGAGGTTGAGTCATGTTTGAAGATCATCAGTGTCATTATTAGATTGACTGGTGCCTCAGATATACTTGTTTTCTTATAATAGTCAGTTAGTTTGGCGCATGTTTGACAATACAGTCGATCATCACCTGTTGAAAATTCCATTTTCAGATGATTTGACAATAAGCTTCGCACGGACTGGTTATCAGTAATAATATTAGGAAATGCTAGTTGAAGTTCCAGAAAATCACATACGTTTTTGCTACCTCTTGAACATTTACTACAAAGTAAACAAGCGAGAATTTTTCCAGCAAAAGATCTACAAACACAAGACGAGACAGACTGTACCGAATCATTCAATCTAGAGCGGTAAGGAGTATTGATTCTTCTATTTTTTTGCTCACGAAAAGTATTTAACAAAAACCCCAAGAATTCGGAGCAATCCTCTTGTTGTCTTAACGAGTATCTAGTGAACTTCTTTTTTGGAATACTTCATACGGACTATTTATTCACGGAATAGTATGCCTGATAATAATTTAACACGCTGCCGGACTGTTAAGTCATGTAATAAATAGGATAGCACAAGCTATCCCAAATGAGTTTACAACTTATGTTAAATATTTTACCATCAACAACAAAGATAGTTTGAGGCAAACCGGTTTGCCTCAAAGCTGTTGATTAGTATTCAAATATGAAAAAAATAAAACAAACATTTTTCAAAGTTCGGGTATTTAACATGAGACTTGTGAACTATTAAGTTTATTTCTATTAAAGAAGGAATGACCTGATATATTCCTGGATGGATTTCTGCAAAAGTTTTTGGCTTTTATTGCAGTCATATCAGGAAACAGAGTATCATTCCAGATCTTCGTATTTACAGCATTCATACTGAATGTGTCAATCACCCATGGGGCACAAGTTCTATTCGACCTGGTAGTGGATAGGCTCCCAATAAAATCATTTCCAGTTCCAGCCATTCTACATTGCTCGGATTTACACTTCCTCAAACGACAAGGTTTTTCTTCGATTTTTTTTTCGGGAACCAAAGAAAGGGCATAACAATAAGTTCCTGTAAAAACGACTCAGTAACAAGAAAAATTCTGTAATAGACACGAATTATGAAACATCTTATTAAAATAACTAATTTTTTAGGTTACAAACGATACCCTTGTTAGTTCCACTAGGATCTCTGCAATAATTCCAAGCTTTTAATGTCGAATCATTTGAAAATTTCACCTCTTTTCCCAGAAGATTTGATGCCGACCACGGTAAGCACGGTAATCCCTCACTTGTAATGTCCTGGGTACCTTTATAATTAGATTCTTGAGAATTGAGAGCACATTCAGGTAAAAATGCAGGAAGGGGATCAAAAATTTTGGGAGGGGTGCAGAAAAAACTCCAATGAGCTACAGTGTTTTCAGAACTAACGCTAAACCAACGCATTTTTCTAAAATAGACAGAAAATTCAGTTACAGTTTTGGTCCAGCTTTCATAGTAATGAGTTGATTAAGGTGTCACAAATATCAACTTCTTGATTTGAAATCCAACACCTTGTGTAGAGAATTATTTTCTCGAAGCCAGCTAAACATACGATATTGAAAAAATATCATCTGTAGGTGAAAGCTTGATCGCACTGAAGAAACTAAAACCTATAATTACTATATTTGTCAGAAAAGGTGTTTCATTCAAGATAATTTGCATACAAGGAATAAATGAAAATATATTAATATTCTGATTTCTTTTCAATACTTTTTAAAATGAAAATAAAAAGAAATATTTCACGGGATATTCAAACCCCACTCTCAGTCTGAATGCAAGCAGCCGTCATGTACAGATTAGGATCAATCAAAATATTCAGTTTGAACATCTATTTGTATTGAGCTGTAAAAGTCAGTTTTTCGGAGCTACAACTGTTTTTTACTACTTGGAGTGCCACTTTTGTTTTTTCATTTAAGGTACTGAGCAAAATGCAACAATGGGACCCTCATTCGCTAAACCTAACACAGGCCGCCGCACTGATGATGTTCTCCCAGACATTCAATTTTTGTGGAGTTTGTGAATGTGTTTCCATCACCAAATGAGGATTCACATCGCTCCAGTTACGACAATTATGTCTATTCACTTCACTATTCAACATGAAAGAACTTTCGTCTGAAAAACATGTTTTGAATAATAGGATCAAGATTATCTTTGTTTAATTCCTGAACTAGCCTTATTTTGAAAGGATGGATTTTGTAGGCTTTCAAAATCCGAAAAACACTAATGGCTGATACACCAGACGCTTTAGCTACTTGTCTACTAGATTGTCCATTATCCATTTGTACATAATAGGTTTGCTCTGGTTCTACGAAATTCAGGTTCTAGGACGTCAGAATCATGCGTAGTTGGCATAAAGCGTTCTGGTTTATTGAGGATAATTTTGGACTGATGAATCCTCTGTTCTGGTTTCGACTGCAAAATGATCCTAAACTGTTTTGAACCGTCCCGAATCGTTCTTGCTCTCGAGGCTGAACTGTTCCCGTTGCTCATGCGCATTTATGTGGAAATTTGTTTGGGCTATTTGCTGCGATGTTTTTTTTATTTATTTGATTTGAATAATTGATGATTGAGGTTGAATAACATTTGAACTGACTATAAGGAGACGCTACATAACAAAATGGAAATGATCAATAGTATTTTCTAGTCTTCATCTTTTCATATATACGATAGGTGGCACAGCGGTCTCCTCAAAAGCGTTCTGGTCTAAACAAGTGTCCGAGACTATTTCGGACTGTTTGAGATTTGTTTGCTTGTAAGCATCATGTCTTGCGTTGTTTCCAAACAGTTTCGGATGTTAGAACCAGAACAAACCTGTCGTAAAACTGCAACTTCAACTCCGTCATTTCTGACAGGACGGGATACTTCATGTTTTCTGTTGTGTACACAACCTGAAGTTCAAAACTTATCCAATAACTGTTTATCGTATCGAAGGCTCACGTTGTGGTTTTGATGCTTCGTTTATAAATTCTTGCAGCAGCTTTAGCACATTCATTATTTCGATAATAGGTTGCAACAATTTCTATTCTTTCTTCAGTAGAATAAACCATGTTGGAACACAGTGAACAAGGATGACTGAATTATAATTCGTGAAGAATTGACAGTGGCCAACTATCTACGACAGTTCTGCGACAACTGGATTCAACAAAAACTATCAGTGCAGAAAAAATCAACAATGTCGTCCATTTCAAAACGTTTACTACTAGTTAAATAAATTCTACCAATCTAGAAGACCTGCGACAGAGAATTGTTCGGACATCTTCAATAATGTAAGGAACGCTTTCGAAAGTAGACTGTATTATTGTATGGAACTAAATGGAGGTCATTTTAGACTCATTATCCGTTGTGTTGCCATTGATATTACTTTTGTTGATACCTCAGGGGGTGAAGTTTCGGGTATAAGTTCCATATAAGAATTAGTCTCCCTAGAAATAAAAATTGACGTGTTCTTTGAAATTTTCGATATCACGTCCGTTTCTTATTTACAGGGGGTCAAGTTTTCGTTGGAACGCCCTGTATAAGTGACTTTGGAAGAGCTGATTTTGTAGAGTTGAAACATTTTTCTGATCTTTTGGACGAATGCGTTGATAAAACGCGGTGGATACTTTACACATATACATATAAACCAAACCATACCACTAACTTTAGATAGTTCAACCCAAGAGGAATTAGCTTTGCTCAATTGAAAAATCTGTAAATTTTTCACGTCCAGTACCTACTTGACTTATATTAAATTGTTAGGTTAGGTTGAATTTGAAAGTGGATTTATTACTGTATACTAGCAACAAATACGTTATTAAGATTGAGTGAAATTTCTCTGTCAATATACCAAATAATACATTTCAGATCCCTAAGTTGTTAAGAGTCTCTATTATTGTTTTTTATTTTTCAAATTCTCTATTATAGGCATATTCCATAATGTAAAGCTTGTGTGAGGTCAAATGGTAGAACAAATCAGTAATTTTGAATTATAGATTTGAACTTCGCCTTTGACGTCAGCCCTAGGATCATTAATGTTCCAAATGTAAAAAAAAATCTATATATGTATCCTAGATTGACAGAATAAAGACACATTATTATTATTATATGTATGAGTTTAAAATATATCATCGAATATGATAAATACCAATTCAAAATTAACACTGTTATCACTTATTTGCAATGAAAAATATAAGAAAAATTATTTGTAAGTTATAGTAATAGATTTCAAAATCAAACCCATAAAAAACAGAACGCCTACACTGTATAAGTTGAAAATTGGGATATTCTAATCAACTGCCCTATTTCAATTATGTAGGAAATTGATATTTTTTAAATTCAATAATCGTGGGGATATACGCGTACCGAAAATAAAATAATTAATACAAAATATTGAAAAAAAAGTGGGGTAATACAACTTTCTCATCGGTTAAAACTAGTGAAGTGAATTAGAATAGTAGAAACTTCCCAGAAAATAGTAATCTCAACTATTTATATGGGTTAAATTATTTCAAAACGTTAGCAAGAAACCTGAAGTATATCTTACCTGAAAATTTCATCAGACAACTCTGTTATAACCTGCAAACCCAGAGACTTCTTAATGTAAATATTCATATTATCTGCGAAAAAGCTGATTGAAAATTGGCGCCATTTCCAATAATCCAGAATACTGCCCAAAAATAACTTTTTCAGTATCACTTCAGAAGCTCCACTGTACGCCACAGAGGTTATCGTGGTATAATTATTTTTTCCGGAAAATGTCACCTTCACCTGAGGATAATCCTTAGTAGGACTAGAGACAAATAATATTCGTGCAGAATGAAAAGCTCTGACATGGGTGTACAAGTCATAAGATGCGGCTTGTTCTCTTAGAAACCAGAATTGTTGAAATTCTTTTCCAGTTGTTGTGTGAACATCACATCCAGAATCATCTTTGCAGAAAGGAAAGTGCCACAACAAATTGTTACCTTGTACAGAGTAATAATAGAACATATTCTTCTTAAAGCCAAGTAAATTGCTCTTCGTTTTGTATTCTGCTAGAAAGATGGGCTTTACGTGCCCTTCCAATCCAAAAGTTATGAATCCTGCGTGCCAGCTCAGAGAAAACTTCGTAAATTCTGTTGATTTCAAAATTCCATAAGTGGGTTCATACTCGGGTTGATCTTTATTACCATAACGTAAAGTGGAAAAATTGTTTCCGATTAAAATTTCGATGCCAACTCCACTATCATCTATTTCCTTGCCTGTGAGGGGTAAGGCTAATACGGATAAAACCAATCGTGCACTTGCACCCAGGTAAGTATCGGAATCCCATAATTTCACTCCGAAAGATAGGTTGGTCAAGGACTCATTAAAATCTGTGTAGTGCATGTAGCTATGGGAGTTTTTCGCGAAAACAAGGCACTCTGGATCGTCACAAAATGGAATATCGCAATATTCCCTTTCAATTTCATCAGTATTTTCATTTTCAATAAAACACCAAGGCCCTCCAATGTCTCCATCGGGGTTTCTACAAAATTTTTTCGCATCTCCGAGATTTTCTTCAGGAAAGAATTGTTTGCTGAATTTTGGTATACTGACGTACTTTCCGTTCTCTTTTACTTTCTTCCTATCTTTATTCCACTTTAAACAGTTTCTGCCTGATAGAAATAAAAATACAGTTTAGATTGTAATAACTTACTCCTATTTCTCTTGTGGTTTAGATAACCAAGTGAAAGAAATTAGCTGGGTTAGTTGTTTTTTCCGCTGGGTCCACACGTACCTACAAAGTCGTAATATGT